AGTGTTGTTACTGCTGGCAGCGTGCGGCTCTTGGAGCTCCGACATCAGCGACACTAGCAGACAGTGCAGCACGTTAATTCAGCAGACCTTGGCGTTATTCATAGGAAAAAAACACATGCTTGGTTCGGTGGCGAAGGCATTTGGCCAGGTTTATTGTCGACAAAGCACAGTACTAGCGCCTCATAGGAGCTACAGGTACACTAACACATATATGCCCTTGACAAAGTACCTGCTGAGTCAGTACACCAGGAGCTTGTTCCCTAGGCGGAACAAAGATGCCCCTCCTATGACTTCTCCTTCTATACGTTGATACAAACAAGTTCCGTATGACACTCCAGATGTTGATAGTTACCACCCTTATCCATGTGCCTGTTAGTTCAAGCAAAACATCCTTATCCATTGTCCTATCATCGCATTCTTACCTGATGAGGGGTCAGTGTGTTCCTGCACCATCTCTTAAGAATGTGCTTACATAGTTACCTGAGAACGCTGGGTAGGTGTTCCTGTACCATCCTCTCAGGTCAGGAATGTGCTTACATGGGTAGCCAATACCTAGTGTATTATTTTGCCAAGGCCAGGCCTACTCGGATTCACAGTCTTTGGTTCACACTGTCAATTATGCCTAGGGCTCCAGCAAGGCCTACAGATAGCACGAAACTGGGCGCAAGCACTCCCCGACTTCACCAAATAGCAGGCAGGCCACCTAAAAACTGATGGTAGATTGGAAGATTGAATCATAGGACTAGAAGGGACCTCAAGAGGTCATCATCTAGTCTAAGTCCTGCCTCAATGAAAGGCACAATTATTATCTAGACCATCCCTGACAGGTGTTTATCATTGGAGATTTTTAAGAGCAGGTTATACAGAGATTCCACAACCTCCCTAAGCAAATTATGCCACTCCTTAACCACCCTGATAGAAAGTTTTTCCTAATGTCCAACCTAAACTGCCCTTGCTGCAACTTACGGCCATTGCTTCTTTTCCTATCCTCAGAGGTTAGAGAGAACAATTTTTCTCCCTCTTTCTTGTAACAACCTGTACTTGAAAACTGTTAGCATGTCCCCAGACTAAACAAACCCATTATTTTCAATCTTCCCTCATAGGTCATGTTTTCTAGACCTTTATCATTTTCGTTGCTCTTCTCTGGACTTTCTCCAATCTGTCCACATCTTTCCTGAAACGTGGTGCCCAGAACTAGACGCAATACTCCAGCGGAGGTCTAATAAGCGTGTAGTAGAGTGGAAAAATTACTTCTTGTGTCTTGCTGCCTTGGTCTACAAGCGCCGCCCCCTGCAGCTCCTATTGGCCGCGGTTCCTGGCCAATGAGCTGGGAGCCATGGAGTCAGCGCTCTGGGATGGGGGACAGAGGCAGAGTGCCTGCAGACCAAGGCAGCAAGACACAGGAAGTAATTTTTCTACTCTACTACACGCTTACAAGGAGCTGCTGGAGGTGAGAACTCCCTGCCATCTGGCACCTCAAGCCCCTCCTGCGCCCCAACCCCCTGCCCCAAGCCCCCTCCTGGACCCACACTCCCTCCCAGAGCGCGCCCCATAGCCTCTCCTACGCCTCAGCCCCCTGACAGCCCTGCACCAACTGCACGATAAACTGGACTTTCAGCTTTTACGGTACTTTGCATTTGTCCTTATTGAATTGCATCCTATTTTCTTCAGTTTGTCCAGATCATTTTGAATGATAACCCTATCCTCCAAAGCAACCCCTCCCAGATTGGTAGCGTCCACAAATTTTATACGTGTACTCCCTATGCCAGGGCTTCTCAACCTTTTTCTTTCTGAGGCCCCACAAACAGGCTATAAAAATTCCACGGCCCACCTGTGCCACAACAACAGGTTTTCTGCATATAAAAGCCAGGGGCGGCGTTAAGGGGTAGCAAGCGGGGCCATTGCCCAAGGCCCCATGCCACAGGGGGCACCGTGAAGCTAAGTTGCTCAGGTTTCTGCTTCAGCCCCAGGGGGCGAGGGCTCAGGGCCCCGGGCTTCAGCCCCATGCAGTGGGACTTTGGCTTTCTGCCCTGGGCCCCAGCAAGTCTAACACTGGTCCTGCTTGTTGGACCCCCTGAAGCCTGCTCATGACCCCTGCTAACTCATCGATTTATCTAGCTCATCGATGAAGATATTGAACAGAACCAAACCCAGAACTGGTTGACTGTGAACCACTGATAACTACTCTCTGGGAATGGTTTTGCCATAAGTTATGCACCCACCTTATAGTAGCTCCCTCTAGGTTGTATTTCTCTAGTTTGTTTATGTTTATTATCCCTACTTTGGATATCAGATACTGTTCCACACTTATTGATGGGACTTCTATTGAGGTGGGGAGGGGGAAAGGAATAGCTCTTCCAGCTTCCTTATTGAAATCAATACCATATGAACACTTTATAGATCAAACACCTTAAAACCACTGATGCCTCTATATCAACCCTCAGACGTGAAACGCGGAAAAAGTACGGCAAACCGTGCTCTGTTTGAAAATGAACCGCAAACATTCAGAAAAACAGACCTTTCTAAAGGACATACTACCATTCTCTATGCAGCTCTCAATAGCAGTAAAGTAACTATATTATTTATGCAGTCCTGTAGTGTACATGACATTTTATAGACATAAAAAACAAGGTCTCTCTCCCAAAAGAGTTTATAATCTAATTTACTGTCTTGACAGTATTATGATTATTTATCGTTTGTATTACCATAGGCCATAGGCGTCCTAGTCATTGACAAGGACCTCATTCTACTAGGCACTGTACAAATGGAGAGTTTATCATCTAAGTACTTGTATGGTCCCCATGATCACAGCATACAGGTGCCTGTTTCTGCAGATAACTCAGCAAATAAAGACAGCTTCAACCTAGGGAGTGGGTGTGTGATGTAACAAAACTAGGTAAAGAAGAGAAGAGCTTTCTTTGGGTTTACCAGAATTTCGAGGTGCCAAAAGTGATGATTTCTCGACAGACATCCTGCAAACTGTGCACACCACTAGGGAGAGAATTCTAAACTAAATCAATCATGTGAATTACTAATGAATTTATATCAGGCTCTACCCTCCGCCGAAAGGGATGTTGGCAAGCAGGTTACCGAGCCGTCTTCTGCAACAGATCCAAACATAGTGGCCAAATATATAAAAATCCCACAGCATACGCTATGAATGATAAACTATCTGTTCTCCAAAACCTACCAAGTCACCAGCAACAAGGAAATGCATCACCAAATGATAGCTCAAAGGAGAAAACCCTTCCATTACGATGTGGTTAAGGTAAGCCTTGAAACATTCTGCCTAAAGACAGTAAATCCTTTCCCCAACAGGTAAGTAAAAATATCGTTAGCCTTCTCAACATGTTCAGTCACCGTGGCACATACGTAGACCTAGTGATCCAAAACACTCGTACTGGGGGATTCTAGGGGCCGTGAGCACTATTCCAGTCTACAGGTTGTAACACAGGCAGAGCATGCATTACATTACAATCTCACAATTAACTTTCACCCCTCCAGAGTTCCCAGGACATAGCCTGATTAACCCTGTCTGAGATACAGCTTCAACCATACTGAATCAGTAGCACTTAACAACTTACTAGAGTAAAACAATTATGCATCAAATACCCTCTGCCTAGATGTGGGGTTCCATACACACGTTCGACTTGTAGACTGGTCAGTAAATAACAGTGCATATACAATGCTACAAGTAACTTGCTCTTAATTTCATACAACAAATTAACACCCGAAATCTGTATAATATGTAATATATTTAATTATCTCTGAAGAGTCATTCTCTGTAGCACTCTCTCTCTTATACAACATGCAAAAACCCCAACCAAACCAAAGCTCTGATAGATTTATGAGCCAAGAACAAACATCACAGTATGGATGTGGTGGCAGGGTCCAGAGATGAGGACAAGTATTACGAGAGGAATGGAAATCCTCAATGCCACCACAATATCCACTTCAGTTTGAAACAGAAGACATCTCAGTCACTCTTCAGCAATCTATCAGACTAATAAGGGACATGTATATTCTCCTCTTGATACGCACATAATATTTCCAATGACATTATTACAAGTTTTCTAAACCTATGTTGGAAAGAAACATGAGCGCGTGGTAATGCAGAGGATGAAGTCAGAAGATCGGAGCTCAGTTCCCAGATTAGTCAGTGACTTCTGGATTAATAGATTTTTAATGCCAGAAAGGACCAGTGTCATCATCTAGGTCTGACTTCCTGTAGAACACAGACCACAGAATTTCACGCAGTGATTTCAGCCAGCCCAACAACTTGTGGCTGAACTAAAATATATATCTTTCACAGAAACACTGAGTCCTAAATTAAAGATGCCAAATGATGGAGTTTACCATATCCCCGGATAGTCTGTTTCAATATTTAATTACCCTCATTGTTAAATACGTGCATCTCACTTCAGCTTCCAGGCGCTGGTCTCAGTATACCTTTGCCTGATAGATTAAAGAGCCCTTTGGTGTAGGATCTCTTCCCTCTGGGTAGGTAGTGGGTAGACAATGATCAAACTGTCTCTTAATCATCTCTTAGATATGATAAACAGATCAAGCTGTTCAAGTGTCTCATTGTAACAAATGTTTTCCAGACCATGAACCTATCCAATTTCTGAATATCCTTTAAAAGTGTGCATACCAGAACTGGACACAGTATTCCAGCAATATTTTATCTAATATCATACAGAGGTAAAAAGTATTGTGCAACCTTCGTTAATTACTTAAACTGTCTGTCTCCGTTTCCCCATCTGTAAAATGGGGAACATTCACAGTACATCATATCAGTGCTAAGAAGTTTAATTCATTAATGTTTGAAAAAGCAATTCAAGACCCGTGGATGGAAGGTAGTGCAAAGTATTATTATTATGTGCCCATGAGCAGAAGGGAATAAATTCTCATTTATGCAATACATATTGTTTTGTACAGAAAAAAAATGTTTCTAGTTCTGAGCACCCCAGGAAGGGTTCCCAATAGTCTGATGTACTTACATGATACAGAGCCAGGACTGTTGATATTGAACCCCTGTGACGGTTGCTGTGACCCCCTGAATTGTATCGGATAGGAGGTGAACTAGAGAAAAAAAAAAGAGAGACACTTAGAAATTGTAACTCTGTAGAATTGCAGCTTCATCAAACCAGACTCATGCAGAGTTCTGATGGAAAACACTGTCAAAGCACTGGCATGAATACTGCACTTTGATTCACTTATCTGCTGATTGGATTGATGCACAGGAAAAGGTTAAAAGATAGAAACACGCAACCTGATGTTTTCAAATACTGTCCTTAAAAGACATTTTACAGTCTTGAGTGGCAATGTTCCTCTCTTCGTTACAAAGCTGACAGAGTCAGGCTATAAGGCCTCTCTTATAGAAAAAAAATAAAATAAGGTTAGGCTGAATCCAATTATCAAAAGATGAAATCTTATCCTTTGGTTGGACTATTTTATTCCCATTGCTTTTTCTGTGGAACAATTTATAACTTTATGCTCAATTGCCATTGAAAAGAGGCAGGAAAAACTGTATTGCATATAGCTATAAATATATGCATATATGAATGAATGAAAGCTTAGCACGGAATAACCAAAGCAGGAACATATGTGCTACTCACTCAGGAGTCTTGTCAAATTTGTTAATTAAATTAAAGGTGGGACCCCTGTATTTTAAGTAACACACATTTGTATATTCACATAAATATTTTATTCTCAATGAAGAGTTTCTAAAATGCACAAGGATGCTTGCAATCAATGCCTCTTCCTTCAGCTAGTGTTGCATGGGTAATGGACTGGAGGGCCGGGTGCTGGTGCCAGGTACTGTCACATGGTTGAGTACGATTTGATCACTGGCTCCAGTGTCTTATGCTGTAGGCCAGCTGGTGTTGCTCCTACAGCATCTCACTGAATTTCTGGAGAAGAGGAACTGCCTCCTGTCACTTTCATTTGATTGTCAAGTCTCAGAGGGGTAGCCGTGTTAGTCTGTATCCACAAAAACAATGAGGAGTCCGGTGGCACCTTAAAGACTAACCGATTTGAGCATAAGCTTTCCATGGGTAAAAAAACCCCACTTCTTTAGATGCATGCAGTGAAAATTACAGATACAGGCATAAATATACTGGCACATGAAGAGAAGGGAGTTACCTTATTAGTGGAGAACCAGTGTTCACAGAGCCAATTCAATCAGGGTGGATGTGGTCCACTCCCAATCACTGATAAGGAGGTGTCAATACCAAAAGAGGGAAAATTGCTTTTGTAATAAGCCAACCACTCCCAGTCTCTATTCAAGCCCAAATTAATGGTGTTAAATTTGCAAATGAAGAGAAACTGCAGAGCTATATATGTTCCGGACTCCTCATTTGACTGAGAAACATTGTTAAATGGCTCCAAAGGAAGTGGTAGGTCTCCTCAACTGGTTAGATATTTGCAACCATGCAGGATTTCAGCAGAGCCACAGAGGAAATCACAAGCATGTGTCAAGTTGGGTGATTTTAGGCTTAGGGTACATCTACACTGCCTGCCGGATTGGCGGGTAGTGATCGATCTATCGGGAATTGATTTATCACGTCTAGTGTAGATGCGATAAAATCGATCCCGATCGCTCTGCCGTCGACTCCGGAACTCCACCGCGGTGAGAGGCGGAAGCGGAGTCGACGGGGGAGTGGCAGCGGTCAACTCGCCGCCGTCCTCACGGCCAGGTAAACCAACCTAAGATACGCCGACTTCAGCTATGCTATTCGTGTAGCTGAAGTTGCGTATCTTAGGTTGACCCCCCCTGGTGTAGACCTAGCCTTAGAGAGGTTTCAGAGTAGCAGTCGTGTTAGTCTATATCCGCAAAAAAAACAGGAGTACTTGTGGCACCTTAGAGACTAACAAATTTATTAGAGCATAAGCTTTCGTGAACTACAGCCCACTTCTTCGGATGCATATCCTTAGAGAGATTCCCAAGGCAGAGCTGAGTGTTTCTGGGAGCAAGCGGTACCAATCCTGAAGGGACTCGAACAAACAAACAAGCTCTTACAGAAAGAGTAATATTCCAAACCAAAGGGTAATGAAATACAAAGAGCACTTCAATGCTGATGATGACCCATCCCTTCAGACTGAACCAATAGGATTTAACCTAGACACAAAGTCAATATTCCACGTTAAGTATAAAATGTATCTTAACAATTCAGACAGACACAACATGGGATAACTCAGCTACCACATTAATAAGTGACTCAGATGTAAATGTTACCAATGGCATGACACACAACATATGAGCGTGTGGTCACGGGGACTGAGCAGTAAATACTGAGACTCATAAGCAATAATGAAAATGGTACAAAGCAATTTAGATGTTGTTCATAAGAGTCGAAACATGCAGCTCAGATAGAAAGTCCACAGCTACAATAAATGAAGAGGTAGTTACCATTCCCTTCCCTGGGGGCTCCCGAATCGGTGAATAAAGTGCTCATTATTTTGTCAAAGTTGCAGCTTGGCTCTGTGTTGTCAGAATCTTCAGCGAAGTGTTTCAGCATCTCTCGAAGGACATCATCCAAGGAGGTTGCGGTCTCATCCAGTATGATGATAGCTCTGGCCAGAAACCCATCCAGGTCACGGTGGGCTCGGACTTCTTCCTCAAAATTCTTTAATTTCAGGTACTGTATTAGGGAAAGGTTCTCTCATTAGACGTTTCATACGAACGCTATATGTACCAATGAACTACTAGAGTACCCTGACCGCCTGCATAGTTAGCCACAAATATGCAGTTCGTTCGGGCTGTAACACGGACACAAATCTGAAGATTTTGTGCTACACATCCCGCAGGACACTGGGAGTGCCGTAGACTCCCACTCACAGCCAAGAAAGTCAGAGAGAGAGAGAGACTGGGAACACAACCAGGCTTGACCACAGCAGAGCAGCAGCACTGTGATAACTCTATAGGTTATTTTTTGTTAGTTAAATAATTCAGTTATCATTGAACTAAGGATCTGCAGTTCCAGCTCATGTCACTGGATGCTTGGGTACTGTTAAAAGATCAAATAGATACTGCAATACATTTACAATTCTACAGGTGCTTCAGGCAAAGTTATGGCAAAAGGACATATAGAAAAATAAACATTGTAAATACTAGTGCTAAATGAATGGTTAAGGTTCCTAAGTCCCATTTTCTAGAGTGAGTTAGGCCTATAGGAGTCTAAATCTGATCATAAATCGATCAGATTTAGGCTCCTAAGTCACCTTTGAAAAGGTGACTTAAGCACTTTCAAAAATGTTACCCTATATCTTTATTGTTGGGGTCCACATTTGTCTCATACATGACAAATGCAACCTCTTTCCCTTTTCCATTTATAGCCTAATCAGAGTGTAACTAACATTTTACTAATGACTTTAATGATCAAGTTGTCAGTACAAGCAACACATCCATTGCCATGAACACTGTTTTACTTTGCATCAATCAATTTCTTACCTAGAATAATTTAGACCAGGGGTCAGCAACCTTTCAGAAGTGGTGTGCCGAGTCTTCGTTTATTCACTCTAATTTAAGGTTTTGCGTGCCGGTAATACATTTTAACGTTTTTAGAAGGTCTCTTTCTATATGTCTATAATATATAACTAAACTATTGTTGTATGTAAAGTAAATAAGGTTTTTAAAACATTTAAGAAGCTTCATTTAAAATTAAATTAAAATGCAGAGCCCCCCCGGACTGGTGGCCAGGACCCGGGCAGTGAGAATGCCACTGAAAATCAGCTCGCTACCCCTGATTTAGACAGAGAAGGATTATTTTAAGGAACTAGGCTTCCCTCTTCTCAAAGCCTTTGTTGCCATATGTTCATTACAAGGGAGATTGAACTACTACTTAATCTTTCTATTACTACTTTTATTGTGGTAACCCCAGGAAGTCCAACTGAGGAACAGGGGGCCCTATTGTACTAGACACTGTACAGACCAGTAACAAAAGAGCCAGTGCCTGCCCCAGAGTACATCTGTCTATCAGACAACCCAGATAAACAGGGTAGGATAAGACAACAGCAAAACAAACAGTTAAGCAGAAGTCTCCATTTGCCCCTCACCTAATCAAAGCCAGACAGGCATGGAGCAGGCACCACGGCAGAGGTGAGGTTTAAGGAGCTATTGTAAATAAGGTAACAGAGTGGCTTTGCAGATTTTAACAGGGTCCTTCTCCCATGCATAAGGGGCAGTGGGAGAACCACAAAGGTGTTTGAGAGAAAACGGGACTGAACAGCAGTAACTGTTGGCAGAGCAGCATGAAGTGCTTTGAACATGCCCATCGCCCCTCTGATTCACCTCACAACTTACTGCTTCTCCGGGCGTTTTTTACAGAGATATACAGCACCCTGTTGAAATCTACGCGCTAGGATCCCCAACCTTCACTCATTGAAGCGAATGGCACGTAGCATCCTCAGCAGTGTATTTCAAACCAAAGGGTAAAGAAATACAGAGAGCACTCCAATGCAGATGGCTCATCCCTTTTGGGCCGTACCAAGAGGAATCTCTTCAGTGACACACAATTTAAGTCACAATTCCAGATGGGAAGGATGGTCTAGGTCAGTGGCTCTCGACTTTTCCAGACTATTGTACCCCTTTCAGGAGTCTGATTTGTCCTGCGTACCCCCAAGTTGCACCTCACTTAAAAACTACTGGCTTACGAAATCAGACATAAAAATACAAAAAAAAAGCGTAACAGCACACTAGTACTGAAAAATGCCTGACTTTCTCATTTTTACCAGATAGTTATAAAATAAATCAATTGGAATATTAATTTTGTAACTATACTTCAGTGTATAGTATATAAAGCAGTATAGACAAGTTAGTGCTTTTTCTGTAGCCTGTTGTAAACTAGGCAAATATGTAGATGAGTTGATGTACCCACCGGAAGACCTCTCCGTACCCCCAGGGGTAAGTGTACCCCAGACTGAGAACCACGGGTTTAGCGATTAGAGCACTAGCCTAGGAGTTGGCAGACCAGGGTTCAAATCCCTGCTCTGCCAGACTTCCTGAGTGACCATGAGCAAATCACTTGGGAAATGAGGCACAGAAAGACTATCTGTAAAATGGGGATAACAGCACTGTCCTGTCTCACAAGGTGTGAGGGTAAAAATGCTAAAGATTGTGACGTGCTCAGAAGCTACAGTCATGTGGGCCAGAGAAGTACCGTAAGACAGTATTAGGTAACTACCAAAAAGTTACTTACATTTTAGGTTAATGGAACTATGGCACTCATGCCGAACTAATCCCCCAGCTAAGTCGACGGAAGAACGCTACCCCTTCCATTGGTGTAGGCTGGGTCTGCACTATAGGGTTATGCCAACATAACTACAGCACCATAGCTATGCTGCTACAGATCCCGCAAGGCAGCCAGGCCTTAGTTGGAAATGCTGGGGGCTTAGCTCAAACTAGGGGCTTGTTGTCTACACTACCACACGGGGTCGATCTAAGATACGCAACTTCAGCGACGTGAATAGCGTAGCTGAAGTCGATGTACTTAGATCTACTTACCGCGGTGTCTTCACTGGGGTAAGTCAACAGCTGACCCTTTCCCATTGACTCTGCTTGCGCTGCTCATTCTGGTGGAGTACTGGAGTCGACGGGAGAGCGCTCAGCAGTCGATTTATCGCATCTATACTAGACGCGATAAATTGAGCCCCGCTGGATCGATCGCTGCCTGCCGATCCAGTGGGTAGCGTAGACAAGCCCTAAATCTGCTCTATGAAGAGAAAATTCACTTGTTTAAGCACAAATTATTTGTGAAGGAGTGGTCATTAATCTTGTCTTAAACACGTGTAAGTCACAATGGGATGCTTTATGCTGGAATCGTCCTAATGAAAACTGAAAAAGCCTTACAACAATACAGTTGTTATAAGAGGAAGAAAAAAATTCTTTATACTCCTAAAGTGCAATTGCAACATTGCAAACCAAAGTTGTCTTCATTGTAAGAGGGAAACAAAGAGTCTTTTCATTCAAGAACATAATTAACATTGCTTTCCCCCTTCACAAGTGATATCCATGGCTCCACGGCCAACAACAATAAATGTGAGTTATCAACAAGGCCCAAAAGGAGCTTTATCTGTTGGGCTACTGCTGCTTTGGTGATTACATCTGCTCACAAATGCTGCAAGAAAGTTTCAAAAATGTGTTCCAAAAATTTATTCTCATGAGCATTATTTCCTAGTTTTCCCATTGTCGAGGTTGCTTGAGGCAATTCACTCAATCGGTTGGGGCTCTCATAAGCAGGTTCAAATCCTGCCAACAATCATAGAATCAAACAATATGTTTGGCTTCTTTGAGTCTCATGCTTACAGGGCATAAGCTGATCAACAGCTGGAGGCAAGAACTATTTCCTCTCTGTAGATGGTACAGGACTACACGAAGAGCTGCACTATAGGAATTTATGTACTCCTCTCATGTATCTGCCATGAGCCACTGTCCAAGACTGGATACGAAAATACGTCTCAATAGAGAAAAAAAGAAAAGGCATTGGTCCATTCCAGAGAACTGGCTGAATTGAAAACTCTTCAATAGCAAGATTACAAGTATCCAGTCTAAAGCTGTAACTTGTTCAACTGGAAAGCAGGCATTAAGAATTTAATTCTCCTTTAAAAATCACTGCAATATACTCACAGATTTGAATGACAGACAACAGCTTGCAGTGATCAATGCTCTGCAACTTGGACCAGAGAGAGATTTAAAAATAGAAAAAAAAATTGGAAAAACAGATCAGTTCTTTCTTGACATACCTGCTGAGATTTCTGCATTCTGATTTTCCCTGACAGTAGTTGATGGCAAAACACCTACAAGAGCATACGGAAATGTTGCTCCACTGTAGCTATCTGTGATGCCATCCTTGTCACAGGGAAGATCAGAATCTGCCTGTGCATTCTAGCCGATACGACGTTTTGGAATTTACGTCAGTGAAAAGTGACCAGTCTATAAACGAACTGGTCTCGCCAATTCTACTGAGAGTCACCACACACTCTACTCATGCATCGCTCAGTCACCAAGAGTCGCAGCGGGGGCGCCACATGCCCCCAGTCAAAATGGTCACAACATATCATGTTCCTCTGTTGGTCTCCCAATCCCCCTCTCCCATTGCACTGCTACCCCTCCATCCACTGCCTTCTGAACGATACAGTCGCCCCCATTGGGCGTTCTCTCATCTTTGGGCAATACTAAGAGAAGGGGAGCTCCAGCTGCAGAGAAGAAGGAGACTTGAGTAGAGTACGGAAGAGGTACTCACATCACTGCTGTCAAAAAAGAAATTAAGTCAACTCTGCCTGCTCCTGATTGGTGGGGAAGAAGGCACACATTCAGCCAGCATGGCAGATGGCTGGCTGGGGAAGGGTGCCCTGAAGTACAGCAGTGTCTTTCTGAAAAGAAGACGGTGACAGCTCTGAACGTGTTCTATCTGGGGACTTCAGGGCTGCAGATGAGGGTTAGTGTGGGAGAATGGCAGAAAAGCAACTCCTTACCCCTACCCTGAGCAACCCAAATAACATGGTGGCCCGTGACTTGCAAGATGCTTTGAGTGCTGACTACTCTGGCATTCACAGTGAAGGATTCACCAGAAAGGAGCAAATTCCAAACAAAAGTGAGAATCCAGTTTAAAAAAAAAGGGGACGGGGGGAGAAATACATCCATACTCTCTAGGTCAGTGGTTCTCAACTTGCAGGCCCAATCAGCACACAGCTGCAGCCCATGTGACA